TGGGTTGCTATGAATTGAAATTGACTCGGTGGCTGTGGGATTGGTTTTGGTTTTGTTTTGGTTTGTATCTGCATATTAATTTTAAGATCAGATTATCAATTTATGCAAAAAATGGATTTTAATAGAGACTACGTTGAATCCATAGAGCAATCTAGAGAGTGTTTCTGCCTTAACAATACTAAGTTTTCCAGTCCATGAGCTGGGTTTTGAATATGAGTTATCCTGAATCCAGAACTTATGCCCTTAACTTACAAACACACATTGGCCTCACTCCATTTGTGCTCTTTGCAGCCTGTTCTTTTTATTTAGCACTATGTCCTGGGGAGGAAGGTTGGGCAATCCTACTTCCGTAGTGATACTGCCTCGGAAACCCAAGGAGGGGTCACTGTGAGTCGGGGCCGACTCGATGGCACATAACAACAACAACAACATGTCCTGGGGACTTTTCCCTGTCAGGATATGCAGGTGTTCTTATTTTTAATAGCTGTATCATATTTTTATGGATGTACTATCATGTATTTAATTAGGCCTCTCTTGATGTTTATTTAGACTGTTTCCCGTTTTTTCCTTTCAGTGATGTCTTGAACATTTCTGAATGTATATTTTGCCCACTTTTGGGGGGGATTTTCTTTGGGATAAATTTGTAGAAGTTCTCTTGCTTAATCAGGGTGTATACGTATACCTTGATTATTTTTGAGAGGTGCTCCCAAATTTGTCTTAAAAAGATTATAGCAGGTTGCTTTCTCACTAATGTGTGTGTATGCCTATGGGCTGTCTAATGGTTACTCATAACAGCCATGTGTACAACAGAACAAAACACTGCCTTGTCATGTGCCATCCTCAATTGTTGCTACTTTTGAGCCCATTGTTGGAGCAAATGTTTCTATCTGTCGTGTTGAGGGTCTTCCTCTTTTTCACAGACCCTCTACTTTACCAAGTGTGATGGCTGTCTCCAGGGTCTGGTCCCTCCTGATAACATGGCCAAAGTGCATAAGATGAAGTCTTACCATCCTCATTTCTAAGGAGTATTCTGGTTGTACTTCTTTGAAGATAGATTTGTTCGTTCTTCTAGCAGTTCATGGTATATTTATTATCTTCACCAACACCATAATTCAAAGGCATCAATTCTTCTTTGCTCTTCCTTCACTAATAGGATGACCTTATCAGGACTACTCTATGGGATACAGTCACTCCTTTTCATTGTCATCACCCTATTAAGTGAAAGGAATCCCTGGGTAGTGTGGCATGAATGCTCTTGGCTACTAACCAAAAGGTTGGAGGTTCTAGTCAACCCTGAGGCACTCGGAAGAAAGTCTTGGGGATCTGCTTCTGAAAATGAGCCATTGGAAACCCTGTGAAGCACAGTTCTACTCTATACACATGGGGATAGCATGATTTGGAATCAACCCAATAGCAATTAGTTGAGGTTAAGTGGAAAATGTGTCCTTGTTTTATTTTACCTTAGTCTTATTTCTGGAAAGGTTGAGTAGCTTCTGATCTGTTTTCAACCTTTTATAACCTGTGTTTGGCTTGTTGATATCCTTTACCCGTTTTTCTATTAGGTTAGGTGATTGATTGGAGTCTAGGTTAAGCTCCTGGAATAAGAGACCCAGAACACAGTGGCTCTAATCAGGTAGACATTTACTTTTCTCTCAGAGGCAGTTTGCTGTGCCACAGAATCGTCCATGAACCCATCTGTTGTTCCTGTCTTTCCTGGGTTGTAAAGACATATGGGTCTCATGCCTTTCAAAGTGGAAGGAATCTTTCACAACTGTTTCTGTGTTTTTGTTTGTGTTGTTCTATTCAAGTATTAGATCTCAGCGTCAGTTATGTTTTCTTGTGACAAAGTGCCAATGTTTCAGGATTTTTTTTTTTTATTATATTATCCATGTTTTCATTTGTTTAATCTACTTGTGCTTGTCTTAGTTGCTTGCTGCTGCTATAAAATGAAAATACCACAGAAAGATTACTTTAGGGAGCAGAAATGTACCTTCTCACAGTTTTGAAGGCTGGAAGTCGAAAGCAAGGCACTGGCTGTAGGGTAGGCCTTTTCTTTGTTGGTGGCCCCTGGGTCCATAGCATGTAGATGGATCTTCATATGATCTCTTCTTCCAGTGTGTCAAAGTGTCTGCTCTACTCTTTATAAGATACCACTCCAAAGAGATTAGGTTTAGGACTTACCCTACGCTTCTTCGTGTATGTCCTTCTTAACATAAAAAAGAAAAGCTCTTTTTTCAAACAGGGTCACATTTTCAGGTACAGGAGTTAGTATATTAGTATATATTATTGCGGGCACAATTCAATCCATAAAGTGGTCATGTCCTAATATTATTGCTAATATGATGTATTTGTATTTATTTCTTGTTCAGATTTGCCAGGTTTGGTCTGGTTGATTCGATGTTCTTAAGAATTAGATCATGGTTTTTTCAGCTCTATTTTTTTATGTATTCTAATTCAGTAATTTCTGCCTTTTTCTGTAGGTTAAATAGGACTACAGTTGGCCTTTGGTCTCTGTGGTGGATTGATTCCAGCACCCCTGTGGATACCAAAGTCCATGGATGCTCAAGTTCCTTATATAACATGATACAGTATTTGCATAATGTGCATACTCCCATATACTTTAAATCATCTCTTGATTACTTACAATACTTAATACAATGTCAGTGACATGGAAGTGGCACTTCATACTCCCTCATAGCCTTTAAGGGGTTGCTTTGACCACATAATTGCTTCCTCCACCCCTTGGCAGTTGGTTGAATCTGATGCAGAACCCTTGGATACTCATTTAGAGTTGAAAGGGTCTAGACCTCCTTTCAAAATTTCTAATCTCCATGTCTTTCTCTAAATTAAACGGTTTTTCTTAAGAGTATGAACATCCATTTTTCTGATCAGTTTTATTTTTTAATTCTTTTTATGGCAGAATTAATTTTGTTTCTACATTATAAATATGGTATGGTTTGTCGTGGTGTTTCTGTACAGGAAATTTCTTCCTGGAATTTTAAAGAAATTTGGATGTTTTTCTGAAGTTGAGAAATTGGAAACGGGAAAAGTATTGTAATTCTCCTGTGAGAATTAAAGCTTAACAATCAACATAGAGATGTAACTGATTTAAAGAAATCCATTTGTATGCCATGTCAAAAGCAAGAGCAGGAAATGCTGGCATGTGAAGTTGAAGGTTAAGGTTAGCATTTCCGGACCTGGAACAGGAGTTTTTAGGAGAGACGTGGTCATGAATTATCTAATCAGTCATTCTGACTTGTAACTGTTGGCCTATTTTAAGTGTATGCTCTTAGCCATGTCTGCTGTTAATGTAATTCTTGAAACTCAAATTTTAATAGGTTTAAATACATAGTATGTTGTTAGGTGCCATTGAGTTCATTCCAATTCATAGTGACTGTATATGACATGGTAGAACTGCCTCCTAGGCTTTCTAAGGCTATAATCTTTACAGGAGGAGATCACCAGGTCTTTTCTCCCATGAAGTCATTGGATGGGTTTGTACCACTGACCTTTTGGTTAGCAGCTGGGGACGTAACTGTTGTACCATCAATGTTTTAGACTAATCTTTTGGATGATGTTTCAGGAAACATCTTGCTAGAACATTGTGTTATGTTACACTCTTTGAATGCTACCCAGTGTTGGCAGATGTTTGCTAGTGTTTGAATATTCACTATAGGCTGCTGTTATTTGTAAATACTTTAATAGAAAAAATACAAAGAGCAAAAGATGTGAGTGTTGTTGCCAAACCCTGCAATGTGAAATCAGAAACTGATCTTAAACTGTGAATTAATTAACAAAAGCTGTATCAGTTTCAATAGTAAAACAAAATTGGGACAAACAGATAAAATATATTCATCTTTATAAAAGGAAATAAGCATGCACTAAGCCATATAGCCCTGTTACCCAATTTGAAGATGCTTTTGGATACACTCTTAACAGTTCGACCAGTGTCAGTGTGAAAATAAAAGAAATTCTTTGACATCTGGAATATTTGTCAGAAAATAGTTCTCTAGACTATCCAGTAGGACAATTTATGCTTTATGGGTTTTCTAATCTCTTTTCCAGTATGGTAACTTTAAAAATATGTGGGAATCTATTATTTAAAATGCTTTTTACTTGGCTTATATTTTATGTTCTGTTTTCTTTTATTATCAGGGAGAAATCATTTTATACATTATTGAAATATATAATCTTAAATAAATTGGTTCATAATAAGTAACCATATGTTGATTTTATATATATATATATATATATATATATATATATATATAATCAATGAATTTTATATATATACATTTTTATAAGAGGAAAATCTCTGAAACTTAGTATAATCCTATCAGAGAAGAATGATTCACTGTTTATTACCATGGTCACTTATTATCTTAAAACATGTAACTGAAGTGTTAGGAGCCTCTGGTGGCACAAATGGTTAACTGTTTGATTACTAGCCAGAAGATTAGCTCTTCAAACCAACCCAGGGGTACCGCGAAAGAGAGGCCTAGTGATCTGCTTCAGAAAGTTCACAGCATCGAAAAACCTATGGACACATGGTGTCGCTCTGAGTTGGAATCAACTAGATGGCAACTAACGACAACAGAAAAGTGTTATGAAAAATATAGAATAACTTAGGATGTTCTTAACTCCCAAGAATTCAGACTTCTTGTTTCTGAATCCTGAACATAAATATTTGTAGGAATTTAGGAAATGCTAGTTTGGGGCAGGTCTTTTTTGGGCTAGCCTAGGAATGCAGCTACTTTATATAATGCTTTCAGTGGGCATGTGTTTTCAGAGTTGCGAATGACCTGACTTAAAAGGGATTCTGTCAGTCAGTTTGGCTCTTTCATTGTTTTCTGTTTGTTGTATTTTGTGTTTATTAGTTGATGACCTGATGTTGAAATTCATTACATGACTTCTTCATTTTGAAAGAAACTACTCACTTTTCTTTAAATTCTCTTGAGAGGTAACAAGAGTTGCTCAACCTATTTTTCCTTTTCTTATAGGGCATTTTAGAAAAATCAAAGGCCAAGGGTATCCCTGTTGTCATTGATGCGGTAAGTGCTGCCCTGCTCTCTTCTGTACACAGCAAGGATGCCCTCTGACAGCCCATGGAGTAAAGGGTGCTGTCCTTGTTTCATGCAGGACGGGTTGTGGCTGATTGCTCAGCAGCCGTCCCTCATTCAAGGTTACCGGAAGGCCATTCTTACTCCCAACTACATGGAGTTCAGCAGGCTGTATGAAGCTGTGGTGAGTTCATTAATCAACTAAAGAACAAGACACAAGCCCTACTCATCTTGGAGGTGGAGGGCAAGGAAAGAGTTCTGCAATCCTGCCACCGATGTTTAATGACCCAGCTTATCCCTTGGGCACATCTTTGCAGGGATACAGACTTGCAAGTGAATGTATTTTTCTTGGCACACGTTTTCACATGCAAACATCCTTATAATCAGGATGTTTATTTTTTTGCAAGTGATGGTGCATTACTTTAACTGGCGGCATCTTTCCTTTCTTGGTGGCACAGACCATAATAGTGTATTTTATCATCATTGGCATCTTTGAATGGATGAAATGTGGTAACTGGGATTCGGGAGAGGTCCTTCCACTGTTTACTTTGGGCAGATCACTTCCTCTTTTCCCGCATTGCCTCATCGGTAAAATGTAGATAATGATGGTATCTGCGTCATAGAGTTGTTCTGAGGAATAAATGAATTAATATATGCAAAGTGGTTAGTCCTTATATATTAAACACTCATTAAACATTCATTCTCATTATTGCTAGAATGTGTATGATTTCTGCAAAGTCTTGAAAAATAACCCTGGGCAGTATTAACTTTGGTCTGACACAGGCAGTGTCAAAGCCAACCTGGAATATTTGTTAAAAATACATAGGCTGGGCCTCCCCTCACACAAACAGAACATGAGTCTTTGGAAGTGTCGAACCAGAAATCTGCATTTGAACAAATGCCCAAGCGATTCTTTTAGACATGAGGGTTTGAGAATCACTGATATAGGACAGCAAGTGTCTGTCAGTGCAATAACATGTCTGCAGCTCCTTTTTATTCTTGTAGTGAAGATGTTGACTTTTTTCTCTGGTATTCCTATACTGCAGCTTAGAGATCCCGTTGACAGCAATGATCATCATGGAGCTGTACTGAGACTCAGCCAAGCCCTTGGGAACCTGACCGTTATTCAGAAAGGAGAAAGAGATGTGATTTCAGATGGTGAACAGGGTGAGTGGTCTATTCTCCTCTGCTGTGTTATCAGCACGGTGTTAGCTGACCTGTCCACATTGGGGGATAAACTGCGAAGGACCACCCAAGTGCACTACTGTGTCAAGTTTCTGTAGGCCATTGCAGCTCCATGTATGTTCACATAATGCTCATTGTCTGCTCAGCAAGAAGAGGCATTTCCTAATGAGTGTATCAACCATGACTTCTTCAAAATCTGCATTTTCTTTAAATTTTCACCATTTTGCAATAGAAGTGAGTGAGGAATGAAATATTTAAAGATAGTATCTTAGTCTTTGTACATTAGCTAAATATCTATAAATGATTTATAAGAAACACCCCAATGGTAGGATGATGGTAACAAAACGTTCATTTGTTTCTATGCCTATTTGATCCGGTGGTGCCTTGTCTTAAGAGCTATGAACTACATTTCCCCACTCCTTGCAATTATATCTGAGAGAGGCTAGCTGTATCTTTGGCCCCTGAAAGCTTTGTGTTACATATTTAAGCAGGTACAGAAAATAGGTTTCATGCAGTTTACCAGAACATCACCTAGAGGATAGTGTTGAAGAGAATTCTGAGGGCTGTCTGGCCCCATGGGAAAGGATGCTGAGAGCATGGGAGGAGGCCTGAGGCAGGAGGCCACCCGTTTGCCATTTCTGCTTGAGTTCTTCTTCCTAAAGCAAAAGGGAAGAAAGACCTGCTGCCTGGGACCAGATGGGAGCTTTCTTGTCAGGAAGACAGCTTACGGACCCTTTGCTTTTCCAGCTTATTGGTAGTTAACATGGCCATTTTAGAAGTTAGATTATTCAGATCAAAAATGATCTCAGAAGTGCATGTGAGTATTTTAAAGGTTAAGATACAAGTTTCTTTTGCCCTTTAATGTTCCCCAGAGATTGATCTCCAGAAAAGTTAAAGATATATCTTTTGTGTAACATTTTGACCAAGAAGAACATAATCTCTTCCTTTTTCCTGAACCCAAGTGAAAATCAAAATTATCTAGCTGCATAATTGTAACCTAGTCATTCTCCATTGTAGGGAGTTTGATTGATCAAATGCAGGTAGTCCTTACTTTTCCTGTGTACATGACATGCTGAAATGCCTAATCCTCCTTTTTCATATGACTGTTGCATAGTGCCTAAGGCACCTGACTGCTAACCAGAAGGCTGGCGGTTCAAATCCACCAGCCACTCCTCGGAAGGAAGATAGGGCAATCTAGTTCCGTAGTGATACTGCCTCGGAAACCCAAGGAGTCACTGTGAGTCGGAGCCGGGCAATCTAGTTCCGTAGTGATACTGCCTCAGAAACCCAAGGAGTCACTGTGAGTCGGAGCCGACTCCACGGCAATGGTTGCTTGCTTGGTTGCCCGTTGTATCAGGCAGTGTGCATCTTAGGTGATCACGCAGTGATGCTGGTTTCCCGTGACCCCGTGTCACCACCCTGCCATCTTCATCTCGCCTGCAGCATACTTGCAGTTACTTGAAGATTGTATTACATTCCGTTCCCATTTTATAAAAATGACTAAAAAGTGAAAAAAATGTAACTGCTGACACTAGTCATGGAAATCATTATTAGATAGGGAATATGACAAATCCTAGGTGTCAGTCACACTTTTACACATGAGCATGTTGACTGTTCAGCAAAAAAGACCAAAATGAAAAGCATGGGTGAAGAGCTGAGAATTTGGCATTGGCGCTTATTATGCCTGAAAAGTGAGGTGCATAACTAGGGATTACATATTATTATTAGCTCTCTTAAAATAGAAATCCTCTCTTCACTAAAATCGATCAGGAGACAGAAACCACACCACTTTTTAACAGAGATACATCATTTAATGCAAAGAATTATTAACTAGGTATAAAGTTGCTGACTGGGTAGTCAGGGTAAAAAGAGAATCCTAATGCATTCTTAAGGAGCCCTTGTGGTCCAAACTGTTAAGTCCTTGGCTGCTAACTGAAAGGTTAGTGGTTCCATCCCACCCAACAGCTCCACAGGGGAAAGATGATAGCCTAGGAAACCCTATGGGGCAGTTCTACTCTGTCACATGGGATTGCTATGAGTCAGAATTGACTCAGTGGCACCTTACAACAAGGCATACTTAGGCTCATAATGTATGTGTGCATATGCACACACACACACACACAGAGCTATGGATAGGAAACAGAAGCATTCTGTTATATAGGATATAAACCAAAAAATCCACTCACTGCCATCAAGTCGATTCTGACTCATAGCAACCCCTTTTGGGTTTCTGAGGCAATGAATTTTTACGAAGTAGATTGCCCAGCCTTCCTTTTGTGGAGTGGCTGGTAGGTTTGAACCGCCACCCTTCTGGTTAGCAAATGCCTTAGGCACTATGCCACCAGAGCTCCTTTATATAGTATATAGCAACATGTTTTTAGAACATTTACCAAAGAAATAGAAAATTCTAGTATGAACATACTCATTGCCACCATGAATTGACTTCATCATCATTAACTACTAAAGTTTAAATAGTTGGTGGAGCTGTCAACTCAGGTGGCACTGAATGGCTGCTCATGTCTCTTTGAGGGCGAGTGTATTTTATGTGTTGAACACAGATGAAAGCTTGTCACCTGTGGTGAGCTTGAGTTTTTAGCATCTAAGGAATCACTATTATTTATGTAAATATGTTCTTTGTGGATGTTGTTTCAGCAGAGAAATCCATGTTTCTCCCCTTCAGTGTGCTCTTCCCACTGCTATTTTGTGAATTACAGGTCTCTTCACTGACATACCCATGCCATACAGGTAGTTCTGTCTCCCTCCTCATTCGATGTGTGATCTGGGCCTAACCTCTGTGTGCTTCACACACAGAGGTAAAACAGAGGTGACCTCAAATCCTTGTAAGAAATAGGGAAGAAACAGTCTAAAATGAGCTGCCAGCCTGTGGCAACAGGTCAAGTCCTCACAGCAGGTTTACTCCCTCTGTGAGTGTCTTGAATGTGCTACAGAGGTAGCATCAGTCCCTGAAGCTAATGTCTGCTTTTGTTCTGCTTTTGTTTAGTGCTTGTGTGCAGTCAAGAAGGAAGCAATCGCAGGTGTGGTGGGCAAGGAGACCTGCTGTCGGGCTCCCTGGGCGTCCTGGTGCACTGGGCCCTGCTTGCTGGGTCTGAAAAAACAAATGGGTACATACACATCTTCACTTGTATTAACATGGTATTGAGATTTTTGAATTTTGTAAGATATTTCAGTAGCTCAACTGTTTAATAAGTAGTCCCTTCAAACACTCGAAACGAAGTATTAGTGCAACGTTGAAGAGATTCCAGGGCAGAGGTTAATCTTGCTTGCATCTTAAAAGCACCTGGGAGGCCTTTTACTATATTCCCCATCCCAGTCAGGCTATGTGTGGACTTCAGAGCATCATTTAATTAGGCTAAAAAGCTTTCCAGTTAATTCAAATGAGTGGACAAAGTTTGAGGACCGCTGTTTTAGGAAATCCACTGATATGCCCTCTGTAAAACAAAATATTAAAACAGGAAACAAACAGAGTGACATTATAGCTTATCCTAGACACTTGACCTTGAAGAGATGGATTTCTTTTCAGAAGCAGCAGAATTATAAGATTGAGGCTGTAGACCAGACTCTGTTGTAAGACAGCTCTGTGAACTTGAACAGGCCACAGCACCGCTGTGAGCCTCAGTTTCTTCATTTGTGAAAAGATCACATGGACCATAGCAGCTGCAGGTGCTATGTCCTGGAAAGCGAGCCTACTGTCCAGCTTGCCTCACTCGACACCTAGTGAAGCACTGCTCAGGGACAGCGCTGTCACATCAAGCCACGCCTTAATGTGAGTTACGGGGTGGGAGTCTGGGAGTTGAGGCTCACAGACCAGGTACCACTCACCAAGATGGGTGTGTCCACACAGTAATCCCTCCTCCTACTTGGGACCAGGAAAGGATCTTCCTGGTCCTAAGAAAGCAGCAGAGATAGTTCTAGTTTCCTTCTCACCCCCACCAGGGTGTAATGTTCTGTTTCAGCACATCTTTTAGTAATGGTAACAAAAATTGTGCATTGTCAGATCTTGAATATCCCTTCACACCCCAGGAAAACTAAAGAGCACTGTTAAAATACTTATAACCAATAAGCGCTCGTTTAGTTTTTCACCATGGCAAAAAAATTGCTTTCCATTGTTCTCTCCTAACACATTCTCCAGAAGGGTAGATATTTTTGATAGGTCTTTTGTCAAGGAATATGAAAATATGGATGAATGATTCTTTTATTTATTGTTGTAACGTAACATTTGCCAGTTTAGCTTTTTTCAGGTATACAATTTAGTGATAGAAATGACATTAATCATGTTGTACAGCCACCACCCATCATCGTTGGCAGTTTTCCATCGCCATAAACACACACTCATAAGCAGTGACTCCCCCTGTCCCCTCCCTCCCCTCCTTCTGTCCGCCCCTGGTGACCACTCATAACTCATGGTCTCTCTACATCTGCCTAGTGTTATTTCATATAACTCAGATCATACAATATTTGTTCTCTTATAATTGACTTATTTCACTGAGCAGGTTTTCAAGGTTTAATTGTAGGGTGGACAGGACTTCATTTCTCTTTATGTGCTTTTAACAGACATAAGAATATCCTGCTTGGGGACTCTGGGATTCCTTTTGCCTCAGAGGCTAATCAGACTTCAGGTTGCCAGCTTGAGGGCCCAAGGTGGAAAGTAGAATAAAAACTGTATCGTGTAATAGTTGCAGGTTCACTTATGTTAAAAATGCTGCTGTTGATGACATGAGGCTTTGTATTTCCTGCTTTCTTAGCATCTTGCTAATGGCTTTCTCCCTCTTTTTCAGTTTAAATCCTTTCCTTGTGGCTGCATTTGGTGCTTGCTCGCTCACGAGGCAGTGTAACAGCCAAGCCTTTCAGAAATATGGGCGCTCCATGACCACCACAGACATGATCGCAGAGGTTGGAACTGCATTCAAAAAACTCTTTGAAACCTGAGCAAGCTATAGTGGGGAAAAATGCATATTTATATATGTGATGAATCACTTGAATACTGTACCAACACATTTCTTGGGAGATATCTGAAGTCTAGGATAAATTTGTTAATGTGGGAACTTTTTATGTACTTGGCATATAATAATTTGGGGCTAAAATAGTATGTAGTTGGAGATGTTATAATGAAACTAAACAAAGTAGTCCTGAACTTTTCTTAGTTTCTCACCAAGAACTGAGAAAAAAATTAAAATCACATGAGAATGAAAAATTCTTTCACAAGTTCAACTGAATTTCTTGGCTTGTTCCAAGATAAGTGGAGTTCTGTTTTCAGTCTTGAGTTTTTCTTCTCATTCTCTACCGATGCACTTAATTTTTCTTTCATTTATGCATGTAGCTCCTTTTATTCAATATTCCTGTAAAAAGGACCCAATCAGTTATTTTCAAATATCTACCTGAGTAATGAGTTTTCTTTTTTTTAAATTGACATCTACCAAGGGATTTTGCGTTCATTCTTCAACTCATTTGTTTGTGAAAAGCCAATTGAGTTGGAAAAAAAATCTCTGGGCAGAAATATTAAGCACTGGCAGTAGGGGTTGCTGATTAAGTATTTCAGAATAAAGTGATAACTGACTTTAGTAATTATTTAAGAGGTGATATAAGAAAAGCAGGAGGAAACAGTCTGACACTACTGACACTTCCGATGGATGGGCCGGGGGAAGGTTTTTTGCAATACCTCATGTCACCCTCTCTCAATGTACATACATATGTACTTGTGATGGCCAAGAAGCATCAGCAAAATAAATATGAACTGAAGAGACATTAGTGGGATAGTTGCAGTTCCATTGTTTTCTATGTGCCAATCATTGTTCTTATTTTGGGGGAAATAAAGCACAGTAAGTTTAAACTTGGCCATGTTGTTCTTGCTTGTTTGAACATCAAGCTTGTTTGGTCTGATGTGATGGTATACTGAGGTGCCCAGGAGGAAATACTAATTGGCATCATTTTGTCTACATATGAAAGAGGACAGCTGTGCCATCTGGTATCAAAATGTGTGTGTCCTCAGGAACATTTACAATCCATTAAAGAAATTGGTATCTCTGAAATTTTAGTAAATGAGATATTTTATTGTATAGTATTATTAATCTCCAGTCAGCTCAGACAGTGGTTCTGTTAGTGTGGCATCTTCTCTTTAGAATGGGCTGACATTTGCTTATTTTCAAGTGCCATTCCTCAATGGGATATGGTGCCTAACACATGCAGTAAAATATACTTTTAATAATGCTTTTTCTACAACAAATGCAAAATCTGTATGGTGCCTTTATTGCCCTTGATGATTAATCTTTCTCTTAATACTCTGTGATTCAAACTACCTCACCCCAAGCTGATTTTACTTTCCTTAAAACTATTATTTAATTTCCTTAAAACTATAAAACTGTTAATGATAGTTAAAAGAAGGTTTGCTGCTGTTACTTTACAATCTTCACTATCTACATGTGAACTTCTCTGAAAAAACTGGCCATGGAGATTTTTTCCTTTGGGTCATTACATCTGAACACTGGTAACTATTAAAGACTGTAATAATTTATTTAAATGTAGAGTGTTTTCTAAATTAAGTGTCCAGAAACAACCTTCCAACTTTTCTAAGTGAGAGCATTTTGTCTGATACTCTGGAGAGAAAATATGTTAGCCTGTATATATAAAATGTATCTTTTTCATCAATGCCTACCGATATTCCAATTAAGTAATTTAAAGAACAAGCTTGAAACACAGCCATTTCTTTACACAGAAAATAAAATACAGCAAAGCCACAGGAACTATTGTTATTTTTTTCTTGCTGTTGTTCTTAACATTTTGCTTAAATGAGAGATACAGACTACGCCCAAGTCAGGTGACTTTTTTAAAAAAAAAATAAAGTTATTACTTGTTTCACTGTTCTTTCACAACATGAGAATACTCACTAGCTCCAGCTAGCTCAGCTGAAGTCCTCTCTCTTACTCATGCTTTCCCTGAGACCAGGATAACAGCATTGGCAAGGATGTACAACATTTGGATGGTCAAAGGCAGGCTTCTGTGCTATCAAGTAAGATAATCTGCTCCCTTGCAGTTCTGCACTATGTTTGGATGCTTTATTGTAAGGACCTTGCCTGCCATCTGAGAATCCTAGCTCTGCAATTCACTAGTTGGGTAACTTTTAGCAAGTCAACTTCGGAACCTGCTTTCTTATCTGCAGGATAGGAATACTGGTGACCTTTCAGGGTCATGAAGATTAAATGTTATGTATACAGAGCTACTGAACTAAAAAACCAAAACAACCAAACTCACTGCCATCCAGTTGATTCTGACTCACAGTGACCCCTTTTGGGTTTCCAAGGTGGTAAATCTTCACAGAAAAACTGTCAGTAAATGTAAGCTATTCTCCTAGCCACTTGATTAGCTATTGCCTACAGCTCCACCCACAGGATTTAATAAATGTTAGCTCTACAGTGACCTTCTCAAGGGAATAACAGAAAATGATTGATAGGCCAGGTCCAGGATCTAAGAGTTGGAGAAAAGGGGGTGGGGAGTGTCACCTACTTTTCTGTTTGTTCCTTTAATAATTATTGCACTTTACCTGAGGAGGAGTCCTAGGGGCACATGGGTTAAGCATTCGGCTGCGAACTGAAAGTTGGAGGTTCAGACACACTCAGCAGCTCCTTGGGGGAAGGCCTGGGGGTCTGCTTCTGTAATGATCTGTCATTGTCATTAGGTGCCATTGAGTTATAGTAACCCTGTGCACAACACAATGAAACTTGTCCAGTCCTGCAGCATCCTCACACTCATTGCTGTGTCTGAGCCCATGGTTGCAGCCACTGTGTCAGTCCATCTTGTTGGGGGTCTTCCTCTTTTTCGCTGACCTTCTACTTTACCACAATGTCATTCTCTAGGGACTAGTCCTCCTAGTAACATGGCCAAAGTACAAGAGACGAAGTCTCACTGTCCTCGCGTCTAAGGCGTATCCTGGATGTCCTTCTTCATTATTCTGGCACTGTATTGAACATTCTTCCCTAACACCATAATTCAGATGTGTCAACTCTTCTTCAGTCTTCCTTATTCATTGTCCAGCTTTTGTATGCGTATGAGGCAATTGAAAATGCCATGGCTTGCGTCAGGCGTGCCTTAGTCCTCAAAGTGACATCTTTGAATTTTAACACTTTAATGAGGTCTTTTGTAGTAGATTTTCCCAATGCAATACATCATTTGATTTCCTGACTGCTGCTTCCATAAGCATTCATTGTGGATCCAAGTAAAATGAAATCCTTGACAGTGTCATTATTTATCATGATGTTGCTTATTAGTCCATTTGTGAGGATTCTTGTTTACTTTATGTTGAGGTGTAATCCATACTGGAAGGCTATGGTCTTTGATCTTCATCAATAAGTTCTTCAAGTCCTCTTTACTTTCAGCAAGTAAGGTTGTGTCATCTGCATATTGCAGGTTGTTAATGAGTCTTCCTACAGCCCTGATGCTGCATTCTTCTTTGTAAAGTCCAGCTTCTCAGATTATTTGCTCAGTATTCAGATTGAATAAGTATGGTGAAAGGATACAAACCTGACATACACCTGGTTTTAAATCATGCAGTGTATTTGTTCTGTTCAAATGATTGCCTCTTGGTCTAGGTACAGGTTCCTCCTGAGCACAATTAAGTGTTTTGGAATTCCCATTCTTCATTATGTTACCTATAATTTGTTATGATCCACACAGTCTAATGTCTTTGTGTAGTTGATAAGCATAGGTTAACATCCTTCTGGGATTCTGTGCTTTGAGCCAAGATCCATCTGACATCAGCAATGATATCCCTCGTTCCACACCCTCTTCTGAATCCGGCTTGAATTTCTGGTAGTTCCCTGTCAGTGTTCAGCATACTGCTGCAACTGTTTTAGAATTGTTTTCAGGGAAGTTTTATTTGCATGGGATATTAACGATACTGTTTTGTAATTTCCACATTCCATTGGTTCACCTTTCTTTGGAATGGGAACGCTCATGGAAAACCCTATGGGGGTAGTTCTACTGTCACATGGGATCTCTATGAGTCTAAATTAACTGAAGCCACCTAACAACAACAAGCACTCTTCCTATTATCACGGAAAGTTTGTGAGGGAATCAAGAGTAAGGCCAGGCCTCCGCAATTCCACGTTCTCTCCCCTTTGCTTTCAGTCACTATCTTAACATCATCATTCACTCAGAAAGCCACACTTTGTTGGTAGTTGTCACCATCCTTCTAGTCTCTGGTCACTTGTCTTTGATACTTGATAAAAATCCTGTCTTTGTCATGTTCCAGCCTTGGACCTATACACCATCTCCTTGGTTTTGTTCTCACCCTTGTGTTCCAGATGCCTACAGAATTAACCTTTCTAAAGCACAACCCTGACTTTTCTGCTCAGAAATCTTCCTGTTCAATGTTTATGGGCAGCAAAGTACCAGATGCCATGAAAACCAATTTATTTTTTTCAAAAACGTTAGACACAGAATAAAATAGAATAGCTATCAGAATGTTAACTGCAGTGCTATGATTGCAGGTGATTTTCTTTGCTGTTTATTTCTATGATGAACACATTACTTTTGTATTCAGAAAAATAAATGTAAAAATTATTATCAGCTCTAGGGAGAATAAAGTCTGCAGTGTTTGGCACTGTGTAATTTCTGAGATACCAAGTTATTTCCCTTTTCCTGTTTCTCTGTGTGGACCCCAAGGGAGAAATGATGTCATTGAACCTGCTGTTGGCATCCTCCCTTCACTTCAAGGTCCTCCTTGCCCCGTGCCATTCTTACTCGGTTGCCCTGGGCCTCTGCTCTGTACCCAGGCACTGTTTCCCCTTTTTAAGGCTGAGCACAGGCTGCCTCATGTCTTGCTGGCTTTGGGTTCATGGCTTTACTGTCCTTCCTTGTCAGATCCTTGCGCATAGGGACCAGCTCTGCTTTATTATGCCCAACACATTTTGCTGAATTGAAATCCACTAAATGTTTGGCCCACCACCTGTCCATCTGTCATAGTGGGTTGGCTCATGTGTTGCTGCTGGAAGCTATGCCACCAGTATTTCAAATACCAGCAGTGTCATTCATGGTGGACGAGATTCAGCAGAGCTTCCAGACTAAGACTGATTAGGAAGGAAGGTGTGGTGACCTACTTCTGAACATTAGCCAGTGAAAACCTAATGAATCACAACAGAGCACTGCCCAACCTGCTTTGGCCACATCATTGGGAGGGATCAGTCACTGAAGGAGGACATATTTGGTGAAGCAGAAGGCCAATGAAGGTATGAGAGACCCTTGGCAAGATGAAAGGGCCCAACAGCCACAGCAATGGACTCAAAACATGACAGTGATCGTGAGGATGATGCGGAACCGGGCACAGTTACATTCTGTTGTATATAAGGTCACCATGAGTTGGAGTCGGCTTGATGACAGCTAACAAATATTTGACATGATTTTACTAAGTTGAACTTTGTGTGGTGGCTACTGGTATGTTTAAAAAAAAAATACCTTCTCAGGGCATTGTTATTACCATATACCAGTGAGAAAGTAACAGCTTGTTTTAATGTTGACTTAATAGCCACAATAGAAAACGTTAAAGTTTTTTTTTTATCATAATATAATAAGGCATAGAAGCTATGTTATAAAAGGTTTCACATGGCTTCATTTAATCCTCAATTCTCTGGTTTTTGGTCTTTCATTCTTTGATCCAGCAGTTCCCATGTAGATGTTGTATTGCTTCTGTCCTGTGAAAGGAAAAATAACTTTGAAACTAGCTGAATGGATAACCACTGGCTGAAGAGGTTAATGGGCAAGATCAGAGTACAGAGAGTCAAAGAGTGAGCTGGAACGTGCTACCTACCCTTAACGTCTTACTGAAAACTCATTCTAAGGGAAGCAGCTGTATGCTTTTTTTTTTTTTTTTTTAAAAAAAAAAAAGGATGTTTCTACCTTCTACCAAAAGGCCCAGTGCAGCCCACTTGGTCTAACAGGTTGTATAAGATCAAGGGTATGACAGAAAGAGGGTAGGACGGAGCAGGAATCCAGGGCCTAGTCCTATCTTTGCCCCCGATTCCTTGAGCTCACATATACTTCTGAGTCTCAGTGTCCCTTCCAGCTCTGACACCCCAGGATTATTGTAAATATTTGTTTAAAGGATTGTTATAAATTAGGTAGTAATTTGAAACTCTGCCCTCTCCCAGGTCCCTCTCCAAATATACCAGAGGGGTGGGTTTCTTTACTCACTAAGAAACATTAGCACAATGATGGTGGTTAAGATTTCAAACAATATCCTATGTCCTCTGCTTGTATAATGCTTGTTAATTCACAAAGCACCTTGTACATACTACCTCTTGAGTAGTCTCAGGGTGATTACCCCTTGTGTGGATAGAGAATCACGGTGGTGGTGGCTCACCTTAATGTTGATGCCGTGGATGGCGAGGTCCTTGCGCAGGGAGTCGCATGCCTGAAGCAGGGGCTGTCTCTCCAAGAGCTGCTGCTGCCGGGCCTCCCGGGAGGCCGTCTGTGTGGCCAGGGCATACTGACGCACCTTCTGACGGAACCGGACCAGCTCTTCTACCACACTGTGCAAAGTGCCTGGGCTGCTGTCTCCTGAAATAAACTAAATACAAGCCAATGGTACTGCTCAGCAAGGTTCTGTGCAGCAAAGTTACGTCCCCATCATGACAGAACCCAGAAGACCGTGCTCTGCTGATGTGTGTACAGTGAATTCTAGTGAAAGACCAAGCCAGCACAAGTCTTTTCTTTGAGTCCCTAACACTGGGACTCTTTATAAAGAACTCAACGATTGGCTGTTTTCATTAGGGATGCAGGGTGAAATGATGTTTATTGTTTACAAGTCTTCAGTCACACTAAGATGCAATTCTTACTTCCCATTCCCCTCCTCCTTTTCGGATATCTCAACGCTCAATCATCACTACACAGAAATCATTACGGGGCTAGAAGGAGAGGGCTCTGGGTGCAGGTACACAACCATCTTGTCCTTCCTCTGATGCAGGGTTTCTCCATGTGTGGCCCTGAGACCCACTGCAGATGCTTGTTGGAAATGCAGATTCCAGGGCTTCCACTGCAGACCTCACGAGATATCTGAAGGGTGTGGCCAGGGAACCTACTTTGGCAAGCTCTCCCTGGGATTCTTAACCCACACTAATATTTTGAGAATCACTGCTCTAGAGGGTGAAAAGATGTTTTCATCTCCTTCACTAGGAAGAGTCTAGAAATCTAAGGCATATGGACTAATAAAGTCATTTTTATCAAATATACTCACTGTAACTATTTAAAATAGTAGGCATTCCATATGTGCACGACGCACACATATATACATATATATTATGCTTTTAACAGAATAGTCTTGAGACCAACAATCTCAGTGATCAGCTAGACAAACTGATCAGCAATAATCGATAAATGTGATGCATCCCATATAAAATATGATTCACATTGTAGCCAGCAGTCTACTCTCTTCCTACATTATTTTTTTCCTTCCACAATAAAGAAAGGATCCTGGTTTACTTAACTTGTTTACATTACAGTTAAACTAGGATCCATTAAATAAAGGAAAATTCTAATTCTGTCCACCCCCAAAAGAGAAAGGATCCTAATGTAGAAAGTGAAGCTGTTGCTATTTGTTAATGGCAATACATGTAAAATAAGAAACAGAGCCCACAACATTTAAAAACATTTAGGTCCAACATCTTAAAACTCATAGATCCTCAGTTATGGCTTCTAAAATTAAAGATAATTTTTGTTGTTACAATAGGTAGCCCAAAGTGGGGCCAGGTGTCAACATCTGAGTTTGGGGGAAGGTGAATTACCTATTTTTGATAAGGGCTATACCCAATGTGGCCAAATAAATACCCCTTACTCAATAAAGGAGCTTTGGTGGTACAGTGGGTAAGGCATTTGGCTGTTAACCAGAAGGTCAGTGGTTCAAACCTATTAGCTACCCCACTGGAGGAAGATGAGGCAATCTATTTCTGTAAAAATGTATAGTCTTGGAAACCCAATGGGGGTCATTATAGTTGGAAGTGACTCAATGGCAGCGGACTTGGGTTTTTCTTACTCAATAAGAAGTCCTGGAAAGTTTCATCTAAAAATGAATACAGACATTGCAAGAACTTGGTCATTTGGACCAGAAGTTAAAGACTTTTCATATGAATGGCTAGACAGACCCAGGACTTCTCAGAAAAGGAAATTACACCTAGTAGGTATTAGGAAGGAAGGTTGGGCATCCTACTTCTGTAGTGATACTGCCTCAGAAACCCAAGGAGGGGTCGCTATGAGTCGGGGCCGACTCAATGGCACATAACAACAACAACAGGTATTGGGTATCTACATAAACAAATCAAACTTCAACATGACCACAAAGAGACTACAGTTCTTTTTATATAACAGTCAGAGAAATTCACAGTAGTAGAGGTCTTTAGAGACCAAAGAGCCCACAGCCTACCTATCTATCCTATGGAGGAGTCACAGAGGCCTGGCCCAAGATCACAGTGGCTCTAAAGAAGGGCAAGTGCTCAAGACTCCCATGGCAGCCTGAGGCCAGAGTGGTAGGGTCCTCCTGGCTGCGGGTGGCTGAGTTCAAATGGTAATATGCCTGTCAAAGCAGTAGGCATCTAGGCCATGCCCAAAGCAGCCAAGCTAGCAGTCATGGCCATAAAGGAACCGACAGGTGGGCAGGGGCTTGGAGAGCAGCTGGAGAAGGATGTGCATCTCCACCTTATCTGTGATAGTTGTGACTTACATTCCACACATTTTTCCAGGGTAAAAATAATTTGTTGCATATAATTTTTTTTTAATGGCCATTTTAGCCCTTTCTTTTCCCCTTCAGAGCAATTCAGTCCTTAAAGCCATTAGGTGTAGAACAAGGCAGGTGCCCACATGGAGGGGTGGCCTGATGTGGGGGTTGGGATGTCTTCAGATATGGCAGCTGGCTTGAGCTGTCAAATCCAAGTGGGGTGAGGAGGGTGGCCTAGTGTGGGAAATCAAGAGCCCAGTGAGGGTGTCCATGCAGAGGGCAACCTGCTAAGGAAGGGGTAACAAAGCCTAAGTGGGGTGAGGAGGGTGTCCACCTCTTGGAAAGACAGCACAGGGCCAAAACAGCCTCAGGTTGCCACCAGGGCTGGAGGTGCCCGATGAGCAGAAGACAGGCTTAAAGGAGGGAGCCAGGAGACCTCCATCCTGAACGCAAATCTTAGGGTGTGCAATCGGGACAGTGAGTGGGATGGGGGGAGATCTGGTCTCAAAAGGCAGAGCTCTGCAGGGTGAGCAGGCTGTCCACATAGGGGAGGAAGGTGGTGGTGATGGACAATTGACTATATAGAGGAAACATGGTCAGACAAGTTAATATACTCAGAATGCTGGTAGCCAGGTTTCTTGCCATCAGAGAAGGAAGTCATGTATGAAAAAGACTAGAATGAATCATTTTTTGTTGGGTTGTAATCGAGATGTCTGTGACAACTCCTACATTTCAATAAAAATAGATCAATACAGAAATAAATTTAGCTAGAAAGTGTGCAAGATATACATATACACATTTCCCTGTTCTGACAAGGGCCTAGAAGCAGCTACAACTCAAGAGCATGAACACAGTGAGTGTGCAGACCTTCACTTCACAATACAATTCTCTCCTAAAAGGAACCAGGACTCCTGGGAGAAATGACAACTCTGTGGTTGAAGGAGAGAAAGTGTAAGAGGAGCCTGGAACAATAGGTGCCAAAAAGGCAGGAAGTGCCAAAAGAATGATGGGGACATGTCAGAAGGGCACAGAAGCCAACTCTAAGGCCAAATTTGGACATTTTGAGCATTATAATAAATAATGATAGTAGTAGATTTTAACCCATTAAATAAAATAGGAAGCCACCAGTCTATATCGATATAAATAAATTACTGAAAGTCTGATGAATAGAATATAGATACATTTTCAAAGTTTCTCCATAAAATACTTTTTCATTATCAGGGGGAAAAGAGTAACTTAAAGAGTGGAGAAGCATGGTAGCCCCCACCTTGATCCTGTGATCAGAGCAGATATCATCAATGATGGTGGCTGCATGGAGAAAAACAGTGGGACATTCCTGCCAAAGATGCACAGCCAGAATCTAGCCGTGAGGAGACAGAAGAAAGACCCAACCTGAGGGACATGCTACAAAATAACTGGCCTGTACTCTTCAAAAAGTGTCAAGGTCATGAAAGTCAAGAAAAAACTGAAGGGAGTGCTCCAGGTGGGAGGAGACAAGAGAGACAACTAAATCCAACATGTGGGTCTGAACTGCATCTTTTTGCTATTAAAAAAACTAAAAAAAAAAAAACAAATCTGTTGCTGTGGAGTCTATTCCCACTCATAGCGAGCCTACAGCTATCAAGGTCCTTTTTCAGACAACTGGCGAGGCCTGAATGGGTCTGAGGTTAGATGGCAGCGTCTATCAGTGTGAATGTCCTGATGTTAATGGCTGTACTGTGGTTATGGAGGAAGAGGTCCTTGTTTACAGGAAACACGCACTAAGGCTTTCAGGGGTGATGGGGCTTCAAGTTAGCTATTTACTCTTAAAATGGTTCAGTGACAAAAAAAAAAAAAAAAAAGCTCTTCTATTGTACTTGTAACTTTTCTATATATTTAGAGATTCTTTCAAGATGAAAAACATACAAAAAATGTGCATAGAACTGATGATCACCTACTTTGTGTAGCTAAAATTGACCGATTTCTGGTTCTGCTAATAAAAATTTGCCAACTATTTCAATTTTGATAAATAAGTAAAAATTGGATCTGGGTGTGTTTTTAAAAAGTAATAATATATTTTTAACTATATAAAGGAATTAATTTGGCATTATAATTATCCATTATAAATGAACATTTTAAAAGGAAAAGAAAGGTTACTATTTTATACCGCTGTTCCTATAGATAATACCACAATTAAGCTTTTACAAGACAAGGATATACCTGTTGAGTTGCCAGAGAAATTCCAACAGTCTCTAAAAACTGCTCAATGTAGGAGACCATGGCGCCAAACACAGCAGGACTTCTAGGACCAGCGGTTTCCTGTAACAAATTACCCATTGAAGGCTCTTTAAAATCAGTATTGATGTCAATGTGCAAAGGAAACTTTCTAGTTCTTAACTTGGATGTAAAAGAACAAAGACTTCGGTAGGTCACATCCACCTGTTGCTTTTCTTCATGTGGAGTGAAGACACAAGCTCTAGGCATCAGACATTGTGGGTTAAATACTAGATTTGCCACTTACATGCTGGGTAAGCCACCTAACCTCTGAGCAATCTGTAATTTGGAGATAACAGAACCTACAGCTTATGCCCCTCCTGAGGTTTCAACAACAGAATGCAATACAATATGTGGTATAGAGCAAGCAGAGAATGAGTGGGAAATGGGCAAAATTTTTAAGTCAGAATAAGTAATAAGGAAATTCTGAAACATGTTCCATTTCCTCTCAGGCTTGACTAAAGTCATCAAACTGGCAAGGGGTAGAGACTCTTGTGTGACTTGAGACTTAGTTTCTATGCCACTGGAACTGCACAGAGATCAGAACAGAATCACCTGGGCTATTTCAAACTACAAAAGCCAGTCTCATTTAGTAGGCCCTGTCCTATATCCCCAAGGAGAGACTGATCCCTCTAATTACCCTCCTCCTGTCCCCTGCAAAGAACCACTGCACATAATAAGAGCTATGACTGATGGCAGCATGTTAGGTAAATAGATGGGATAAAGGCAGCAAACAAACAGAGAATCACTGGTGAAAGACAGGACTAGTTCCTTTAAAGAGAAATGTTCATAAGCCAGGAATGGTCTAGGCCTGTTGGAACTGCCCATCAGTGACAGCAACTTTTCCCTGAGGGGCCACAAACAGTTGCACTGGACTTTAATCTCTGCCTAACCACTTTCAATTTCTGGCAAAGTATTCCTGCACCAAGTTTTGATTTAAATTTTCTCTCTCCCTCAAAGTAACAAACTACCTCAGCTTGACTGCAGATGTTGTTTTACTGCCACAACAGCACCATCCTTGAATTGAGGAACTTCCATTCTAAAGGTCCAGTACAGGCATGGGACCACTGCTGACTTGGCTGCCACAGAATCGCTTGGGAAGCTTACTTAATAAGCAACCTTCTGGCCCTATCTGCAGGTGATTCTGATGCAGGGTTACATCTGGGAATTATGACCACACACCGAGACCTCCACTGAGATACTGAACTAACAGGATGGTGGACTTGGACTGGAAGAATCAGAACCCAGACTGACAAATATTACCAAAAGGAAGTGGAAGGTATAACGATGACCTTAAATAGAGCCTTTGCCACTGACTCGACTTTTCAGATAACCTAATGATTAAATGAGCCTGTAGAATGAGAACTCCTCCAGGGGGAAAAACCATGCCTTGGTTTTTCACATACCAGGAACTGAAAAGCTCAGATGCCACAAAGCCTCTGAGCAAACAGGAGGGTTACACAGCAAATATATTAGTAAACATAAAATAGCTACTGGTCAGTGTGCCAAAAACTGTTCCAAATGCTCCACATATGTTGTTCGTTGCTGTCAAGTTGATTCCGACTCATAGCGAGCTCGTGTACAGAGCAGAACTGCTCCATAGGGTTTTCACGGCTGTGACCATTTGGAAGCAGATCACCAGGGCTTTCTTTTAAGGTACCTCTGGGTGGGTTTCAACGGCCCACCTTTCAGCTATGTTCTAATGCTTAACCATCTGTGCCCACCCAGGACATGCGCTACATACATCCATATTTAATTCTTACAACCCTGTGAAGTTCGGGCTATTACTATTCCATTAAAGTATGCCAGCAGCAGCAGACCATAAATGCAAAATACAGAAGCTCTAGAAACTCTTAAAGAAGAAAAGAGTTATTCAGTAGCTTCTTGGAAACCACCAGCTGAAGTAACCCAGAGAGTTAACATACTGTGCTTCTGTTCTTTCCTTACTGGGGGGAAAAAAACCAACTAATCTGTCAGTACTAAGAGTGGGACTATGGGAGCTGCCATATCCTAATGAGTTACCTTAGTAACTGCCTTAAGCTGTCTGTTCCCATGGTGAATGAGGTCCATAACAGCATCAAAAGCTCTGGGTGTATCAAAGTCATCTGCAAAAGCAGCCTTCACAGTCATTTCTGTGTTGGTTAGTCTTGGAGGCAAAGTAAGGAGAGAAACAAACTGGTCAATTATACCAAAAAGAAACTTTCGCAAGAAGCAAAACCAATAAGCACCAATGGCACCTAATGCTGCCATTATTAGTTCACCCATCTCAAAGCAGGAGCTCTGGTAGCATAGTGGCTAAAGCACTTGACTACTAACCAGAAGGCTGGTGGTTCAAACCCACCAGCCACTCCTCGAAAGGAAGGTTGGGCAATCCTACTTCCATAGTGATACTGCCTCGGAAACCCAAGGAGGGGTCGCTATGAGTCAGGGCCGACTTGATGGCACATAACAACAACAACAACATCTCAAAGCAGCATGCAGTGCTTCAGGAACAAAACATCCTTTTCCAAGGAGAAGGTTTAGTGATTTTAACTTTGGGGACTCTTTCCAGGTTACATGTACAAAGACTTGTGAAAGCCTTACCATTTCCTCTTTCATTGCTGTACTCTGGAATATAAGCTAGTTTCCCACATAATCTTTACTACTAAGTTCAACTTAGAATTGTCATATTATCAAAATTGAAAATTCTAGAGTGGGGGTCACCTGTAAAACTTGGGTCTGAACACACAATACACAAGTGGGCACTTTCATTCATGAGGGTTTTAAAAATCAATAGTGAGAGATTAAGTGGAGCTGGTATAAAATACAGGCATACCTCAAAAGATAACTGCAAAAGTAAAAGTGCAGTTCTGTTCCAGACTACCACAATAAAGTGATTATTGCAATAAAGAGAGTCACACAAATTTCTTGGTTTCCTAGTGCATATAAAAGTTATGTTTACACTATACTATAGTCTATGGAAAAAAATTGAAATATTGTGAGAATTACCAAAATGTGACAGGGAGACATGAAGTGAGCACATGCTGTTGGAAAACTGGCGCCTATACACTTGCTTGGGAGCCTAAGGCACTTGACTGCTAACCAGAAGGCTGGAAGTTCAAACCCACCAGCCACTCCTCAGAAGGAAGGTTGGACAATCTACTTCCATAGTGATACCGCCTGGGAAACCCATGGAAGGGTCGCTATGAGTTGGGTCCGACTCGACGGCACATAACAACAACATAGACTTGCTTGACGGCGGGTTGCTACTAACTTTTGATTCGTAAAACATGCTCTATATCTACGAAGTGCAATAAAGTGCAGTGGATTTAGACGAGGTATGCCTGTAATGTCATAATCTTAATTCACATGTATTAAGGGGCTCTGGTGGCATAGTACCTAAGGCATTTGACTGCTAATCAGAAGGTTAGAAGTTCAAACCCACCAGCCACTCTGTGGAAAGAAGACTGGGCAATCTACGGAAAGATTTACCACCTCAGAAACCCAAATGGGGTCTCTATGAGTTGGAATTGACTCAATGGCAGTGAGTTTGGTTTTTGGTTTTTATGCAAAAGTGGTATCAAGTGAAGGATAAGGTGGGAGAAAAAGTCAGAGTCATGTTTACATCAGTCATCAAGCATCAAGCGGGGTAGGGCGGAGAGAGTCCTAGGCATGAAGGTAGCCCTTGCTCATCACTAGCTTTATGATCTTGAGCCAAGTGTTCAGCCACTGTCTGTGTCAAATAGGGACAGCATCTGTCCTCCCTGTCTGAAAAGGCAGTGGTTAGGAGTTACTGAGATGATGCACCTGAAAGAATCTGCAAAAATGCAAAGCACTGTACAAATATGAAGTGCTATTGTTTTTTTACTTTGAATATGCAAAATTTAATAAAAGTAATTATTAACAATTATTAAGAATTAACTATAAAATGTAAGGAAACTGTAAAGAATACCCATAATTTTTTTCCTGTGGTTGGTGTGTTGTGGAGTCAGTTCTGACTCACAGCAAGCCTACGTACAACAAAACGAAATGCTCACTGCTTCTGCACCACTCTCACATTCCTTCCCGTGCTTGAGCCCATTGTTGCAGCCACGGTGTCAATCCATCACATTGAGGAATTTTGTTTTCATTGACCCTCTACTTTTCCAAGTATGGTATCCTTCTCTAGGAAATGGTCCCTACTGATAACATGTCCAAATTATGTGAGAAGAAATCTGGCCATTCTTGCTTCTAAGG